ACTAGGTTCAAGTTCTGCTTGGAAGCGGAAGGATTTTTTCCAGCCGTGCTGCGACCCACAGTTATTTGGGAACTCGTGGCCTGGCACGAGGAAAGCATGCATGGATGCAGTGAATTGGATTTTCGGTCTTTTTCACAAAGTCTTTGTGGTGCGTCTGATCTACTCCCACCGCTTAGGTCTTTCTTATCAAGGCGCTGATGCAGATCCTAAGTTAGGAGCTGCATCAGCGCCTTGATAAGAAATCCCAGCCTGCCCAGGGCAGGCTTGTGGATAAAACAGAGTGCCAAAGCATGAGAAGAGTGGTGTTTGCTTGATGGGGTGTGCAAAAGCCATGCACTTTCATGACCACGATGACTCTGTCATACCACCCGTAGCCACAGCACATTGAGCTTCTTTCCTGTGTGCCATGTCTTTCTGCTTCTTTTTTTGGTTTTTAAAGACGATGCTTCTCGACGGTGACTTTCTCGTGATTGCTGTGATGTCTTGGATCCCGCTTACCTCAGCTTTCCTGTACTACCCTGCCTTGCTCAACTGGCGCTCCGATATTGGATTGAAAGCAAGATTCAAAGGGACTTCTTGGCGAACCCTGCTTTTGGAGCATTTTCTGGTCGTGATGATTCCGATGATTGTAAGTAGAGCCGCTTCTTGATAGGCGATAGCTAACATCTCAGTTAGTAAGGTTACTGCGCCGTTTGGCGAGTGATTGCGACATCTGCCGCAACTGCAAATAGTCTGGGATCAATATTGCACCATCTTTGATAGCTACAAAGGCTAGGAATAGTGGCAGGGCCGACGCCACTGGTACGGCTGGTGCGGCCATGGGCGTACCAGATTTTTCCAATTCCAGCGTTCATGGGCTGCTCAGTATGCAATTGATTATCTAGAAGTATGTAATGAACATAATTATTATGATCCACAGAGCTAGAGATGTATAGTTTTGAAATTGGACATGGGGAAATAATCGGTCTAGCGGCCAACTTGGGGCCGCACCGCCCCTCAGGTGCTGGCTCCGTCCCTGAGTGGTGCTACTGCAAAGTAGTATGGCAGATCAATAAACAGGAGAATTGGTTGGCCAAAAACAGGAAAGTCTAATTTTAAATGAAATGAAATAGCCTGCAGGAAAACTTGTGTCTGATCAATGATCATGTGCAGAGCATGTAGTGTGCCACATTGACGGAGCCGTCCTGAAGTTTTCAAGGTCAACCAAACTATGGCTTCATTCCTGTACTGTGTATGCAACCATGTGCATGTATAACCAAGTCCATCACTAGTGGCAGTAGTGCACTGCATCATTAGCAGGGGGTGGCTGATGGCACGGGCGGTGGAAGTAATACTTGGTCCACCTTCTGGGACTGGATTGCACGGTGACAGCACTAGCGGCTGTCCGCAGAATGCTCAGTACACCGGGTAGATCTACCCAGTGTGATGACGCAGTGTGTCAGAATGTTGATCAACATGACTCACTGTCACTGATGTAGACTATACACTCCGTACACACTCTACACAGCACGACCCTGAGGATACTAGGCACCTAAAAGAATTCATTTTGAAAGTTGCTTGGGCCCCATGGACTGAGTTTCACCGTTGTTTTATTAGTGTATTATAGTTACTGCACAGTACTGTGCATGCTAGCTACATAATCGTAATAACTAATTATTTGGTTTTGCCCGTACAAGAGGCTGATGCCGTAAAAAAAATACTAGGCGTGCAAAGTTTAACTCGGACGGTGAGCCAATTAAATTATGGTGAAAAAGGAGGACAAAATGCTACGAGTTATGACTAACTGTCCACCAACGTAACCAGATCTTATACAGTCAGCGAGTGCGACAAAATGTCACAACACTGGCAAAGGAGTTGCCGTGATGCGTAGCTCGTGCTCTTCTTCGTTGTGCTTTCCTTCCCCTCTTGGACCTTTCCGAACCTGAGCCTTCCAAGTTGGAAGGTTGTTGGTTTGCGCCTTGGAGAAGTGTTGGAGCTAGGTGTCAGGTCGCCAAATGTCTCAGTACTCCTTTGTCAGTTTTGTGCCATTTTGTCGCACTCGCTGGCTGTATACGATCTGGTTACGTTGGCGGACAGTTAGTCATAACTCGTAACATTTTGTCCTCCTTTTTCACCCCAAATACTAGGCATCTGTCATATAGACCATACCAGTACAGCTACCGTATTTTACCGGTTGTAAGTCGACCCCGGTTGCAAGTCGACCTTTGGTTTGGTTTGGTTTGGTTTTTATTATTTCAGTTCGTTGCCTCAACAGTACACAGTACAAATATCAAGAGGGACGAACGAAAAGAGAAAATAAAACAGAGCAGAGAGGAAGATGCAACTGAAAGGAAAGAAACCTTCAAACTCGGGGCCTCGATTTACTGGTTTAAGGGTATTTATACCCCGGTTGCAAGTCGACCTTCAAACTCGGGGCCTAGATTTACCGGTTTAAGGGTATTAATTTTATGCCCCGGTTGTATGTCGACTACCCCGTTTTTAAGCCAGTTTTAAGTCATTAAAAGGTCGGCTTATAACCGGGAAAATATGGTATATCAGCTGTCTGACGATTGCCTAGCGGCATGAAACTTAGAGTTACAAACAACTTGAACGTCCACCGCTGAGTCTGCTCATGATAGTTATTATCATTCAAATTTAATTTATTATTAAAATTTTGTATACTCATTAGTTGGGGGTGTTGAAAAGTGGGGGGGGGGGCATTGCCTTTTTGGTTTTACTTTTAGACATGGACATGGTACGGGCCTCACCACTAACAGGGGTTGTCAGTGTTGGGTGGGTGCGCCACACTGTGTACTTGGATCACAGCGCTAGCGCTAGAAACTACATGCATGTGTAGCCATGCATTGCTTACCAAACCTGGCCACTTACACCACACACACCTCAGACCTCAGACCTCAGACATGCCCATCGCGGAAGCGATGATAGCGAACAGCTATGTTAGACATAGCAACTTGTGCTGGGATTACACCATTCAACAGCTTGCAAGGCTGATGAATTGACCGCCACTATTTTACACACACACACATAATAATTTTGATAATGATTGTTATGCTTACAGATGCTACAATGTTCCTGTTCTGCCTGCTGTTGTGGTGCTGTTTTCAAGGTTGGTCTTATCCTACACGCATGCGTATCACCGGTACAGAGGTTCACGGAGAAGCACAGAGTAGCCTTGCAGAATGTCTCCAACACCTTCTTAGTCCTTCTCGCCTGGATGGTAGTCAGCAAGATCAGTGAGGAGAAAGTCTACAGCTGTGTGGACACCAGTGCTCTTCTATACCTCATTGGAATGGCGGTGCTACTACAGCTACTCTTCTTAATCATGAACTCTCTTGCGTCACGCATGGTCTGCTTTAAGAAGGAACAGGCACTGGCTGTAGTGTTCATGTGTAGTCTGAAAATGCTGCCAAATTCTCTCACTGTGATCTCGTCGTTTGACACGGATCGCGGTGCTAGAGATCTAATGTCGCTGGCGTGTAGATTTGCTTATCTAGTGCAGCTGATGCTGAGCGCACTGCTCTCACTGCTCTTACTGAGATGCGGTCGACGAAGTGCAATGTTGGAGGACAACACAGACCCCGCCAACGAGGATATGCCGGACCTTGACGCACTCACTCTCCGCGTTCTTATGCGTCTCGCCCGCTCTGCGGCAGAAAATGATGCTGATGAGGACCAGGAAGAGGGAGAGACAAGTTTTGGCGTTCTATACTGAAGGAGAGTTATGTACCTGAAGCACAACTTAAAACCCTGGCGAAGAACGCAATCACAGTAATCTGTTATAACGTTACGGATCAACTAGCACATGAGATTAGCTGTCATTGATACTAGTACGGATAGATTAGACAATCATGTTGTAACATATTATTGTTCAAGTATTTTCCACTGACGGTGTATCACATTTGCCTATGATTGACTGCAATCGCCACATGCATTCAATTGCCACGTACATGATGTCACAGGCACACTGTACATGACATCATGGATACACCGAACAATTACAAATTTACAATACCCGTACATCCTACAATTGTAGCCTCCTAGTCACAAGCTGCTATGAATACTCGGTGCAGTCTTGCACATTACTGGTATAGTACTGAGTATGTCAGTGTTCAATCGTAGCTGTTGCATGACGTTATGTATTGTCTGGGTGAGTGAGTGATAGTGGTCTCCTCAGTGATTGGTGTTGATAGGTGCCTCTATTGGGCAGCCCACTGCATGTACTACTACTAGTATCATTTGTATCATTTTTTTTCATGACTCCATCTGCCTTTGCTGGAAAGTGCCGGGCAGGCTTTTCCATGTGCGGTAATAGATTGCAATTTGCACGGGTATTTGTAACAATTTACTTGCCGGAGTGAGAAAGACGGCAGTCTGACAAGTCCACGCAACTGTGTGTGTGTGTGTGTGTGTGTGTGTGTGTGTGTGTGTGTGTGTGTGTGTGTGTGTGTGTGTCGCGCCCTGGATATCATGCTCGTCACAAATGTGTGGCTGAGCGGGGCAAGCCGATTGCTGAGCAGCGAGGGGCTTGTCACTGTGGGGATTGTGGGCGTTGGTTTTGTAGCAATGGTGGTCTAGCTGTTCACCGCTGTTCCGCTCGTCAGCCTCCCGAGCCCTGTACAGGATGCCTGCTGTGCTGCGCACTGTGCCCGCTGATTTCGGACTGCGCAAGGTCGCGGTCGTCACCGGTGCTCGAGGACTGGTCCCCGCCCGACTGACCATCAGCGTAATTTGTTCACTCATGTACGCGTGTGTTCTCGCAGGTTCCGTTTGCTCCACCACCCCGGATATCATCAGGCTGCGGGCCTCGTCTTCCTCTCTGATGCCACTCCGGGGCCCACATGACCCCTGTGGCAGTGGCTCTACAGGACAGGACAGGTGTGGTGTGTGTGCGTGTGTGCATGCACTCACTCCAGATACAAAAACAACAACAACAACAACAACAACAACAACAACAACAACAACAACAACAACAACAACAACAACAACAACAACAACAACAACAACAACAACAACAACAACAACAACAACAACAACAACAACAACAACAACAACAACAACAACAACAACAACAACCACAGCAACAACAACACCAACAACAACAAAAACAACAACAACAACAACAACAACAACAACACCACCCCCACCACCACCACCACCACCACGAACAACAACAACAACAACAACAACAACAACAACAACAACAACAACAACGGCGGCGGCGGCGGCGGCGGCGGCGACGACGACGACGACGACGACAACAACAACAACAATAACAACAACAACAACAGCAGAAACAACAACGACAACAACAACACCAACAACAACAACAACAACAACAACAACAACAACAACAACAACAACAACAACAACAACAACAACAACAACAACAACAACAACAACAACAGAAACAACAACGACAACACAAGAACAACAACAACAACAACAACAACAACAACAACAACAACAACAACAACAACAACAACAACAACAACAACAACAACAACAACAACAACAACAACAACAACAACAACAACAACAACAACAACAACAACAACAACGACAACAAAGACAACAACACCAACAACAACGGCAACGACAACAACAACAACAACAACAGCAACAACGACAACAACAACAACAACAACAACAACAACAACAACACCATTAATACTGATAGGGCCTATCAAGGCTTTTCTACAATTTGGAAAGTTTGTTTGCTTCTCCCATGGCCCAGCGCCCTACGTAATTGCTGCGTGTCCCACGGGCCAAGCCCACACCTCACTAGGATATGGGAAACAAAGTTATTTTTTGAACGTAGAAAAAAGGGGCACATGTATATGACGAGTTATGGGCAACTGTCCACCACTGTGACCATTATAATGTCAGAAAGTGGGACAATTAGGCACCAAACAGACACAGTACTGAGACATTCAACGACCTGACACTTATTTCTTCTATCAGCATACATTTTAACATTGGCCCAGTGCTGGGATGACGACCACACCATAGTTCAGTGGTTAGAGCATCGATGACCTCAAGCGAGGGTCCCTGGTTCGAGTCCTGGTGGTGACAGTCAAATTTCTTCTTCAGACTTTTCCCGTTTGCGTCTTTCCATCAAACCAGTGGATATTGGCCCAGTGTCCGAGTATTTTGCAAAGCTCTGCGGAGCATCAGCATTTGAGATCGGCAACGTCAAGGATCTACATTTTTGGCCAGGGCATACAGGATATCAACCAGGTTTATGTTGAGCAATGCACCGGCTGGCATTTACAAGCCACACATCTGGCCGATTTAGAACTACAGTCCGTTTCAAAAAGATTTGCAATCTTGGCGATCGCCCGCGGAGTTTGGCGTCTTACCGTATGAGCACTCGAGCGCTGCCTGGAAAAACTCACTGTGAACTCGAAGAAATATTCCGCGCGAAAGCAGGAAAAAAGACAACTCACGTTGATACAGTCATGTACGTCTGGTTTACAACAAACGAGTTCTTCCTCGTAATGGAGTCAGGAAGGACATGTCGAAACGAAAGTGTTGTAAATGTTGACGAGCGGCATGTGTCCCAATTCGTTTTGTGACCAAAATAGTTTCTTTGAGCTGCGGTGCAATTTACTCACCGTGTGACGAAAACGACATCGACACGGACTCATTCCCAAGGCCATGACTTGGCAAAGTTATCCGTGTGACTTCGACGACATTTTGAGAAAAGCAGACGCTTGTGAACGCTGATAGAAGACAGCGTTGACTGCTAAATTCAAATAAATTGGCGATCTTGAAATACTAAAATACATCTCAAAAAGCTACAGCGCGATGACTTCCATATTCACTCACACCATTGCAGTGTTGTGGGTGTGTTCACATGGCGTGAGCCAGTCAAGTGTCAGTCAGTTCGGCAGGAAGCGCGAGCTCCAACAACAAGTCGTTTGGTGCAGCCATCTTCTTTGTCTTGTACCAGCTTGATCACCAAAACAATGAAAAAAAAGTTTGACTTGACGAAAGGTTGGGATTTGAACTCACAACTTCATGGTCAGCAGACAGCATTCATAACCACAAGGCCAAAAAGGAAGGGATAAATCGTGGGTTTTGATAAAAAAATCGATACTGGCTTCCTGGGCAAATTGTAAACCATGGGAAAAGGCCGGAAACCTGGCCGAAATTCTAACTCCTTAACGGCTGGTCCAATTGTTCCGAAACCTTCACAGAACAATTTGCCGTGTCCTAACAAGCCATTCTATGTACTTTGTTGTCCAAATTTCCCTTATCTTCATACTTTTTAAGACCCAAACCTGATTGTAAATCTTTTTGAAACAGACTATAGACCAGGTTTTTAACAGGAATTTGATCAAAACCCGGTTTATATACAGTGATTTTTTGGTCAATGATTTTGCAAACACATTTTCCCAAGTTTCTACTTCAAGCAAAGGTTTGTTTTACTGGTAAGGCCATGTCAAGGTCCCGATGTATTATAGAAGACGAGGGAATCAAAATCCAAAAAAGATACCCATAGTCACTATCAAAATCAGTAATTTGGAAAATAGAATAGAATAGAGTATTGGTTTTCTTGAGTAAATATAAATGATCTTCAAAAAGGTAAAAGGGAATTTCACAACGGAACACAGATTTGCTGACAGCTGCCCGCTGTGTATTGCTGCCAATGCATAGTCAGCACACCCGAGTACCTACTGTGTCTTTCTGCTGACCTCCTGACTACTGGGCAAGCTGAAGACCGAGATGGCAATGCCTGCCTGCGCGGCCCAGTACAGGCCCAGGATGATGAGCTGCGCCGCCGGCAGTGTGAAGTGGAACTTATTGACCAGCAGCAGGACGTCGGAGAAGATAAATGCGGCTGCACCGGCCGCGGCCGTCCAGTTTGTCCAGTGGGGCTGCTCGGCAGTGCAGAGCGCCGCGGCTCTCCAGAACATCATCCCGATCACGATCGTGTAGAGAAGGAACACGATCACAAACGGGCCCTTGGCAATGGGCAACGCCACCGTGTAGAACACAGAGAGAGCAAACACGGACGTCACGCCGCCAATCGGCCAGGCCGGCGGACTCATACCGAACGCCACCACGTAGAGGATGTGCGCGAGTCCGAACGCGCCCACGCCGGGAAAGAACAGGTGCTCGTAGACCAGGCAAGCATCACCGACCACCGAGGACAACAAGCCTGCCTGTAGTAACAAGCTGTAGCTGGAGGTACGTGTCGGATGCAACAGTAGCATCACCAGCAGGCAAAGTACAGGTATGCACTTTAGAACCAGATGAGCCAGTTTCGTCTCCGGAAAGATCTCTAGTGGCAAGTCGGAGAACCCGTAGAGACCGACCGATGCCATGAATGGCAACAACTTCCATATAACCTGGGCATGGAAACAATTGGGAGGAATAGAGGTTACCGGGAGGACGGAGCAATACCTATTTTATATTGCCTTTTGCATGGCTTGTTTGGAGAAAGCGCTATTCCACCATAAAACAGTTGTTGAAAAGGCGACGAGGAGACAATAACTTTATCAATGCGATTAATAGTATTAGTGAAGCGGACATTACAAAAGGAACAACCATTTTAGATACATGTATTCTCATTCATCATTTTGTAATGTCCGCTTCACTAATACTATTAATCGCATTGAAAACAGTTGTTGTTTTTTATTTAATGTCGCATCACAAGCAGGCAGCTATGCCTTCTTACATGTGTGTGCGACTATGTGAAGAAAACACTATGTAATAAACGGAATGGAATGATTGTTGACTAGCAGAGGATGTTATGATGACAAGTACGGATATTATTCTGAAACAGTGTGAGTCTTGCTCACACTTAAAGCAAACCATGTGCCTTGGAAGACATTGGAATGGGTGAAACCAAGAGTCCATAAACAGTGTATGCACTCTTGGTGAAACTAATAGCCGCAGAGGTCACTACTGGACGTAGGCTACCCGTAGTCAAAGCAGTGAACGAAGAATCAACGAGAGAGCTTGGAAGCTCAGCGCCCTGCGCTATGCTTTTTTGCCTAGCTCATAATGCATGTTATTATAACTGATGGAACTTGCTCTCTGGCCCCAACTTCGTTGCGGTCTTATAGTGTTTTACATCGACCATGACGGCTACAACGCCCAACCATACCACCACGAACTGATCGGCTACATCATTGTATGGCAAAAAGTTTCCATCTGTTCGAATAACATTCATGATGAGCTAGGCAAAAAAGCATAGCGTAGGGCCCTGAGCGAAAGAAATAAACTTTCTCTTTGCATTCGAGGGTAATACGACACCGTCTACCACCTTGATGACCTAGGCAAAAAAGCATAGGGATATTATAAATTTTTCATTTCTCCTATTTTCTTTAAGACACAACCTGGGATTCAAACCCGCACTATCGCCCTGCATGCATTCCCCCGATATACTTCGCATACATACTGATTCTTCCAAGTTGCTTCACGTTATGATCTTGCATTTGACAGTCCTATTTGAATATTGTGGCCAGCTGTCTTTGATGGTATGGTACGGGATAGCGCCAGGCATGCCGATGGCACAAACAGACAAACACGGAATTAAAGGTGGGTGGACCCTGGCTAGCGCCAGACGTTACTGAAGTAACGTTTTTTGCATAGCTACGGGAATAATTTTATATGTTATAAGCTGAAGATGGGGCTGACCATTAGAGGCGCTAGTGTGGTGGGTATTATATGCCCGAACTGGATGCCATGGATCCTGCAATGGCAAGCTTGAAATGACAGGGACTGGTTATCTCGCGGACATCATCGGCGAGTGAATTCCAAAAAATAGAGCTATGGAATTGCAGAGTTGATCGGCCTGCTCAGACTCGCACCCAACAAACTTGCTATACATCTAACTATACAAGCACGTCTTACTTGTGTGCACGCGCACGCGCGTTACGACAGCAATACTCATACAACGCTGTCGTAAATGGTCTTAATACATCGAGATGAATTGATTCCCATCCCTGAAAGAGGACAGGGCTGACCCTTTCCTTACATTGTACGGTAAGTCCGGAATACTTATCGTCGGCGCGTGTGTTACTAGTAGTATTATTAGTAGTCATTCTGTGATATCGTGACTAGCTGAATGAACTTAGTAGTAGTACGCACAGGTGCGCTAGCTGAATGAACTGTTCGCACACTGACGTGTCCCATAAAGTCTTATGCGTAGATCTACTAGTAATCAACCTTTTTAAAAACATTGGATAAGATTTTTCTAAATCAGTAGTACCTTTTCATCTTTAGTTTCCATGTCTCCTGAGACAGTCCAGTAGGCGAAACACCTGCGTTGCACGACTTCAGCTAGAAAGGTAGCAGCAGCACGCCGACACAGGTCGTTGAGCTCGTACAGGTACCGGTCAGAAACCTCCTTACGTAACGCCGGTTCAGATCATGCACCCACGTAACGCTACACACAACGAAGTGCAGTAAAAATGGTAAAGACTTCTAAAAAATGTTCTTTTTGGCCGGCCGGCCGGGGAGATGTACAAAATTTAATACTGAGTATGTGCTGTCGCGGACATGGAAATGCAGTCGATTGACCGGGGCCGGCACCCTCAGGCCTCAGTGCCTACACTGGCTACAGAACGTAAGTCGTTGCATGCAGTGCACAATCATGTTGATCCGATGCGACCAGCAGCAGCGTGCTACGGCTGCATGGCCAGCGCCCTGGGGCCGCTAGACGTGCGACCGAATTTCTATGTCCACGACAGTAGACCTACCGGTTGCGTTGTCTTGACGTCTTGCACCGCGCCGGTGTCCAAGTCCAGTGCAACCCGTAGTCCTTTCAGTCAGTCTGGCACAATGACACCGACACTTGACAGTCTACATTAAATTAATTTTTGTATTTTAGACTTCGCGCTATGCAGAAACAAGACAATGCGACATCAAACGAGAGAGCAAAATTTGTGGCAACAATTTAAAATACTTGAGGAGGAGCAAGAGAGCTACATGTAGCTAGCGATGCCCGGCCAGAGTCGAGAGTGGTGTGGAGCGTTCTCAAACTGAAAAGTCAGCGAGATCTGCGTAAAGCACACAGCAACTAACCCACTTGTACATGTACAAGAGGAGGAGAGAATCATATGAGCTCAGTTGATGATAGGCGTCTGTACTGTAAAAACCACCCTGCTGACTTCCTTGGCTTGGGCACGCCCCTCGGCCCTGGTGTTGATTTCGGAGACGGAAGGAAAATAATTTGTAGTCGATGGAGTATGAACAGAGCAGAAGGTCTAGAGAATACTAATGAACAAGACAGCAACTACATGATTGTACACGTATAGATCAACTGTTCCGAGTATAAACAGTTCTTTAAAGTACTCGCAGACTAAATTGCCATTTACAGGCTTGAACCATTTCTACTCTCTCTCTACTCTCATCTAGGCTGCCAAGTGGCATGGGACAGACGAATCAAGGACAGGTCCTCTTATTTTTATTATTTGACACATTCATTTTTCTGATTTCTTCTCCAGTGTACGATTTATTGCATTTAAAACCATTGTGTCAATTATTTATTATTTGCCCGTAAAAGTGGCCTGTACTACGTACAGGTCCTCTTTCGCTTACTCACTGATACTTGATAGTGATACCACATCCCGCCGGCGGCCATGTCTTACTTTCGGCTACGTGTCAGCTGCGCTCTGGTAACATCATAAGGACAGTGGACTGGTCATTGCCTGCATGCCCTTGCCCACATCGCTCATGATCCTGAGAACCGGCCGAGCAGAACGAAATAATATAGGTATCCTATTTTATGATTTTGTTTTCTCTTGAGCAGGCAGGCATAGTGGGATGGGCTAAGACCACATGATTGAGAAACAGAGGCACCAGGTTCAAGTCCTGCTTGGTAGCGGAAGGATTTTTCAGTGAATGGGATTTTCGCTAATTGACCATGTGGTAGGTCTGATATACTCACCTCCCACCACCGCTGCTGCTGCTTAGGACTGAGCTGCATCTGCGCCTTGATCCTAGAGGGTGGTGGCGTTCTTGCCTTGATCCTAGAGGGTGGTGGCGTTCTTGCCTTGATCCTAGAGGGTGGTGGCGTTCCTGCCTTGATCCTAGAGGGTGGTGGCGTTCCTGCCTTGATCCTAGAGGGTGGTGGCGTTCCTGCCTTGATCCTAGAGGGTGGTGGCGTTCTTGCCTTGATCCTAGAGGGTGGTGGCGTTCCTGCCTTGATCCTAGAGGGTGGTGGCGTTCCTGCCTTGATCCTAGAGGGTGGTGGCGTTCTTGCCTTGATCCTAGAGGGTGGTGGCGTTCCTACCTTGATCCTAGAGGGTGGTGGCGTTCCTACCTTGATCCTAGAGGGTGGTGGCGTTCCTACCTTGATCCAAGAGGGTGGTGGCGTTCTTGCCTTGATCCTAGAGGGTGGTGGCGTTCCTGCCTTGATCCTAGAGGGTGGTGGCGTTCCTGCCTTGATCCTAGAGGGTGGTGGCGTTCCTGCCTTGATCCTAGAGGGTGGTGGCGTTCTTGCCTTGATCCTAGAGGGTGGTGGCGTTCCTGCCTTGATCCTAGAGGGTGGTGGCGTTCCTGCCTTGATCCTAGAGGGTGGTGGCGTTCCTGCCTTGATCCTGGAGGGTGGTGGCGTTCTTGCCTTGATCCTAGAGGGTGGTGGCGTTCTTGCCTTGATCCTAGAGGGTGGTGGCGTTCTTGCCTTGATCCTAGAGGGTGGTGGCGTTCTTGCCTTGATCCTAGAGGGTGGTGGCGTTCCTACCTTGATCCTAGAGGGTGGTGGCGTTCCTACCTTGATCCTAGAGGGTGGTGGCGTTCCTACCTTGATCCAAGAGGGTGGTGGCGTTCTTGCCTTGATCCTGGAGGGTGGTGGCGTTTCTGCCTTGATCCTAGAGGGTGGTGGCGTTCCTGCCTTGATCCTAGAGGGTGGTGGCGTTCCTGCCTTGATCCTAGAGGGTGGTGGCGTTCTTGCCTTGATCCTAGAGGGTGGTGGCGTTCCTGCCTTGATCCTAGAGGGTGGTGGCGTTCCTGCCTTGATCCTAGAGGGTGGTGGCGTTCCTGCCTTGATCCTAGAGGGTGGTGGCGTTCTTGCCTTGATCCTAGAGGGTGGTGGCGTTCCTACCTTGATCCTAGAGGGTGGTGGCGTTCCTACCTTGATCCTAGAGGGTGGTGGCGTTCCTACCTTGATCCAAGAGGGTGGTGGCGTTCTTGCCTTGATCCTAGAGGGTGGTGGCGTTCCTGCCTTGATCCTAGAGGGTGGTGGCGTTCCTGCCTTGATCCTAGAGGGTGGTGGCGTTCCTGCCTTGATCCTAGAGGGTGGTGGCGTTCCTGCCTTGATCCTAGAGGGTGGTGGCGTTCCTGCCTTGATCCTAGAGGGTGGTGGCGTTCCTGCCTTGATCCTAGAGGGTGGTGGCGTTCTTGCCTTGATCCTAGAGGGTGGTGGCGTTCTTGCCTTGATCCTAGAGGGTGGTGGCGTTCTTGCCTTGATCCTAGAGGGTGGTGGCGTTCTTGCCTTGATGCTAGAGGGTGGTGGCGTTCCTGCCTTGATCCTAGAGGGTGGTGGCGTTCCTACCTTGATCCTAGAGGGTGGTGGCCTTCTTGCCTTGATCCTAGAGGGTGGTGGCGTTCCTACCTTGATCCTAGAGGGTGGTGGCGTTCCTACCCTGATCCTAGAGGGTGGTGGCGTTCTTGCCTTGATCCTAGAGGGTGGTGGCGTTCCTGCCTTGATCCTAGAGGGTGATGGCGTTCTTGCTTTGATCCTAGAGGGTGGTGGCGTTCCTACCTTGATCCTAGAGGGTGGTGGCGTTCCTACCTTGATCCTAGAGGGTGGTGGCGTTCTTGCCTTGATCCTAGAGGGTGGTGGCGTTCCTACCTTGATCCTAGAGGGTGGTGGCGTTCCTACCTTGATCATAGAGGGTGGTGGCGTTCCTGCGGATGCGGAAAACTCGGCCTCCAGCCGAGTCTCACGCGAACCGTGATTTTTTCTCTTGAGCTAGTGAAGCCCCTACGACCACTCCTGGTAACACACACACACACACACACACACACACACACACACACACACACACACACACACACACACACACACACACACACACACACACACACACACACACACACACACACACACACACACACACACACACACACACACATGTACTTGTGCATGTACTGCAGAGGGAAGCAGAGGGAATCTATGACCACCAAACGGCGGAACAGTGGTTGCAAGGATTCGTCTTCGACCACCAACTAATTAACCCTGCGTTTTGCGCGAGGATGGCAAACCCGCGCAGTCGTGATGTGCAATACCAGGTCGTGGGTACCTGTCCTTACACGACGTATTAAATTAAATTTTACATTCTGCACATGCATGGCTTCTGGTCCCTCTCCCTTCTAAGGCCAGGTATAATTCTCTTTGTCCCTTTCATTCCCCAGTACATCAACACTCTGGCTATGGTGTGCAGGCTAGCGCGAACCAGAGGTCATGTTGTGGGCGTGCCTCACTAGCACAGGCTCCACCCTGGAAACCCTACTTTCCCCGCAGCTGTTCTGTGTTTCTGGTGTTGTCTCCCACTCCTTTCTCTTCACTACGTGGTGTCTTCAGTAAATAAATTTAGAACTCTTGCATGGTGATGAAAATGTCAGCTGGACACACATGCTAGCCTTTAACTTTGCAGTTCAGTGGAGTAAAACTACTAAAAGGGATCCTTCCTACAGATCAGAATGCTGCGCTGCTGCCAATGTCGGTGGATCAAAGACACGCGGCATTTGACATGGGTGTCACGAGTTTCGTGGTGCCTTCACACAGTTGTGGGTTTCTAGTAACATCGACACGCAACTGATAATGAGTGATGCTTGTCGTCACGCGGTGAAAGTAACACCTTTGATGACACCCCTCTGGATCCTCCTCGTGGAATACTGCACCGAGCTGTGGCAGCTGCTACTAAGAATAGTAGCGGGTGCCATTGTCAATGTTCACACAAAAGGAAACGTCTGATTAGTTGGCAACTACATGACTGTAATTCTTATCTTCATGGTTGATGCTCAACGCGTTGATGAATACCGATCTGAGTAATCTCCCGTATGGCGTAGCGGGAGCGACCAAAGCAAGATCGATACGCTGGTCGATACACAGATGAAAGAAGTTACTGAGTGAAAGTTAGTTAGTTGACGTCCCATTAGTACTAGCTACGTGTACATTGCCATGTACTGGTCACGTGGAAGTGATGTGTTGAAGGTGAGCCCGCTGTGTGGTGAAAATGAAGATCAGAACCTCATCTAATCCAAGCAGCGATGCAGTAGTACATGTAAGTGGAAATCTCACCGTGCATATACAATTGTTGTACTTTTACGAATATTATGCACTACACGTGTACGTGTAGGACCCATCATTCATCAACTGGTACCATGGTCATATTCAGCACTCGTGGCGTCAGTTAGTCAGGCATGCAGGTTGTGACTAGGAATTCTCCAGACACACTCGCAACGCCTCCATGTACACACCATTAGAGAACACGATCCGTTACTGCCTGTACCAATCGGCAATGGCCGGCGTCTTCGAGGAGAAGATACACCTTCCTACAAAGCGCATGAAAGCACCAGAGTGGGAATTCACGAGTAGGACG